TGATATTCAATTTAAGTCACGCGAGCCCTCGGACGTTTCCGCCGTCTGGTTCGGGGGTGTGACAATGACATACTATAAAAAACGGGTTGTACAAAAGACATGAACGCCCTCATTAGAAAACTTCTATCTTTGTAAATGAATATTTTTTTTACAAATATATGATTACTTTGATTCATTATTAAACAAAGTATGTTGCTATTACGAGTCTCACACCTAACAGACATTGTAGTTCTGCCATTTGTTTGATTCATTTTTTTATGTGACATTTGTGAATATTTCACACATATTACCTCCTATTTTACTTATTGCTTGTCAATTCGACTTATCAGAGCACTTCAATTCGTATGTGCTAGATGGAGTACACTTCAACCAAGAAAAATAATGTTGCACAAGATCACCCATCCATCGTCCATTACTAAATTTTATTTACTTCATTAGTATTGTTATACAAAGGTTTGTGATGAATATGTTACATATTTTATTTTATATAGTTTCTTGTCTATATATATATTTTTTAAAAATGTTAAATCTTGATTTAATGAATGCAAGTCAGCAGGTTGTAAAGGTGCAAGAAGAGAAAACTAATAAATATGGGATGATCATGGCTATGTCAAGCCAAAATAAAATTCTAAAGTAACAAATGCTAAATAAAATTTTATTTACTCCATTAACCTTTTATGATCGTTTGGTGTTATATTCAAGTATCTTCTCAGTAGGTGATTTCCATCTTAAATTGTTTAATAGATCCCCTATTCATCCAATTGTAGGTTATCGACACCTCCATCTTTTTAACATTCTCATCAATTCGACCCCATTTTATTAATCTCTATTTGAAAATTTTAAGTTTTTGGATATGTTTAGGGTTATCCATTGAACCCATTGAGCCGGTGATGAAGGAATTCAAGCTTTTAACTGCATGCCCTGGTATGTCTCTACCTTATCACATGTTTAAGAAATAGAACCTCAATTTACCAATTTCCGTAATGGTTTTGTCCCTACTTTAATTACGGTTGGCTACTTTTGTACTAAATAGGTATATAATGAAAATCAAGTTTTTTTTTGTTCTTTTATCTGTTTAGCATCGAAGCAACAATGAAATTTGTTTTTTTAATTCATCTTGAATAACCATTTGATAACTATATGTAAAAGATACGAATACTCAGCAGTTAAGACCACAAACCTTACTCAAACGTCCGCAGATGTCTTGAAGTAAACATTCATTTTTCCATTATTTTATCATTATCATAAAATAAAAAAGACATCCACATGTGTTTAAATTATTTAATACGTCTCTTAATAACAAGTATGTTGTGTGCCAATTCTATCTTTTGACATTTTCAATGAGTCACGGGCAATATCTAAATCGAGCAAACATAAATGTTTTTATATTTATTGGTTAGAGTTTCTTTATATTTAATATTGTGGGGGTTTTATGTGGTTCATTTTGAAGGAACATAAATAAGTTGTTATTTTTTGAAATAAACAGTTCTATTTCGCAATATAACCATAAAATAATATTGTATTTTGAAAGTACATTGTCAGATGTTGGATTATACTTGCGTAGACCCATTTTTACGCATGGTCGACTATATGTAGTTGTTTCCCGTGTCACGAGTAACAAATGTTTGAAGGTACTCATATGTGACGAAGAAAGTCATTCAACTAATAAAACAAAAAATATTGTCTATAAAGAGGTCCTTCAACGACTATATATATTTACCGATTTCAATGTATTTTCTACACATTTCAATAATACCAACAACCCTGTTTTTTTATAATTATTCTACAATATCTATATAAATTTGTATTTTATTTATGTGTTCCCCACGTTTAACGCGGGTCATAATCTAGTAGTAGACTATAAGACTACATTTACAATACTTGGATCAGTAATTCAGTATCCTCGAATTATATATATATATATATATATATATATATATATATATATATATATATATATATATATATATATATATAAGTCACCAATGTCACATAAAAACGCCAAAACTCTTCATGTTCTTCAATTACAATTGATGATACACCATGCATAGAGATCTATCACGAATAATTAACCATGTCAAGCAAAAATATTTACACAATAGTGATTCGTATACAACACTTTTTCTCTGTATATAATAATTTAAGATTTATAGAGTTATACAATACAACATTTTAAAATATAAATTGGTGTGTATGCATAAAAAATATTGTGTATGAATCAACTCTCATTCATTAACCATAGACATGCATAATCACGTACACAAATGGTTACAACATTGCTTAGAACATTTCATAGAAATGCCAAACCCCAGGTCATTTTCATATAGTGCATTCATATAATTTTTAACTTAAGATGTAGATAATCGACTCTTTGTTTTGTGCCTCTCAAATAGATCTTTAAGTGCTTCCACATACCACATGTATACTTCTGAAACCTTTAATCAATGATTATTAAAGGAGAAAGTGCGGTAAATTCATCCCATGTGGTATGTGTCATCATGTTTTTTGAGGGTTACTTGTGGTGTTACCGTACATGTATAGTGCCACATGGCGCTAACCGTACCATACGTTTTGTCCACATCCTCAAACCTTAGATAATATGAATCTATTTTTTCTCTTTTATTTTTAGTTTTGTACACTGCTATTTTTATATAATATTTTTTACTTCATTATTTATTTAGAAAGTTACTTTTTATAGTTTTCCCTTTTTAACTTTATTTAACCCAATTTTCATTTTTTATTGAATGAAATTAAAAAAAATGATGTTTAATTTATAACAAAATGATGTGTCAAATTAAAAAAAATGATAACATAGTGTAAAAATTGGAAAAATAAATGAAAACTTAATTATCTTTTGTGACAGTTTTTTTTTTATTATTCTTTTTTCAACCCAAACAATATCAAGTAAACATGTTGCATCAACGTCTCATTCTACGTTAGCAGTGACAACCAGATAATGGAGATAATGATCAAGATTGTAAAAATTGAAAAATGCAATCTCTTAAGTGCAATAAAAAAAAAGCAATGTTGAAATCCAAATATATATATATATATATATATATATATATATATATATATATATATATATATATATATATATATATATATATATATATATATATATATATATATATATATACCTTTTGTGTAATTTACCTTAATAAATATGTATGAATTATCTTTGGCCCTGATGTCTAGTCTACATACAACTAACTGTTTGCCATTAAACCAAGCGGGACAATAAATAGGAAATACAAATATGGATATATGAAGTTCAATATAAGAGGTTTAAATGTTGATATGTCCAAAGTATTTCCAGTAATTGTTTAGAATATAGAGTTTATTATTTTCCATGGTGATATAAAAACATAAAAATATACTTGGAATGCACTTATATAAATTCTATTATAATTCTTTCTAACTTATTCCTTTAAGGGCGTGTTCGGCACGGAGCGTTTGAGAGCTTCTAACTTCTAGCGTTTGACAAAACGTTCCGTTTTGAACAGAAAACTTTGTTTGGCACTACAAGCTTCTAGCGTTTAGTTTAAACAAAACTCTCCAAATCCAAAAGCTACTTCATGTAGCGTTTAACAAAACACTACAAGCTACAAGCTACCCGCTACAAGCTATCAGTAAGTTTGCCGAACACGCCCAAAATCTAAGAAGCTTTTTGTTTAATTACTTTATTAATATTGGTAATTAAATCCTTCTTATATTTAAACTTACCATTATCAAATCATCTCATGAATTGTCTAATATTTTATAAATTCAAAGACTAATATTCTACATTTCTTATATCAAACAAGAAATTTAAATAAATACGTTGGGTGGATTGCTTTAAAAAATAGTTTTTATCATTTTTGACGATAAAAGTGATCAGGAAGTTCTATTACGATTATTTCTAACGTTAATACGCTGTGTCATGTGTGGATCGCTGGATTGGCTTCAAGAGAGAGTCTTCGTCCATGTTGAAGATAAAAAGGATTTAGCTGTAAGCGTTAAAAATAAAATTCAAATGTTCCTGCCCGGGATCGAACCGGAGACCTTTAGCGTGTAAAGCTAACGTGATAACCACTACACCACAAGAACTTTGTTATTGAATCTGTAAACTATGGATATATAACTACAGTGAAATAAATGACATACTTTCCAAAACTGTGAATTTCATCAATCAGTTGTCATTCGGAATTGGTTTATGACATATTCACATCAGCGGTGAATTGCATTTAATTCCCAAAAGGATATTGTTCGTTGCTGTATATTTTGAAAGCCTCCTTTCAAGGGAAGCAATGAAGAAATCTTAGATTGGTTTTATATTATTTTTTTATTTGGATAATTTGGAAGGCTCGTAATGTTTTGGTGTTCAATGGAAAGAGATGCTCTCTTTTTAAAGCGGCGATGATGTTAGGTTGGTGGCATACAAATAAATCAAACATAAATCGTTCAATTTTATTAATTGGTTTGACCAGTGTATCCCTCTGTTTAATGTAAGTAATTTGTAATTCTGTACTTTGTTTTTGTTTTTTTTCTAGCGTCTCGTTAGTTTGTTTAATGCAACCGCCGTTAAAAAAATCAGTATCACATAATTTACGCCAAACTTTTCATGTTCTACAATTATCACCGAGGATACACCATGCATAGAGATCTATCACGACTAACCCAGTCAAACCAAACATTTACACAAAATATTCGACGCTGTTTGTTTTTTCTAAAAAAATCACTTCCATATATTGTTGCGTCGCGTTGCACACGCGCAACACTTGACCCTTCGCAGCTGTTTGTTTTTCAGAAGACTTCTAACTTAAAAACTGTTGCGCGTGTGCTGCGTGGTGCAACACTTGACCCTCTGCTTCAAACCTCTTCACACCTTATTTTAACTTATTGCAGCAGTATGTAGAGGTTAAAAAACAAACAAACTTTTTATTACATGCTGCAGCCGTTTGGTCCCCCTCTTCTGCTACAGAGGGTTGCAGAGGTGGTCCGCAGACTTCAGACATTTTCTCTTCGAAAAAACAAACGACACCTTACTCATTAACCATAACTATTGAAATTTTACTCATGATGTATCTACATAACCACGTACACAAATGGTTATATCGAGTACAAATGGTCTTAACCTACCTAAGGATACATGCACAAATCTACTCTTACCACAACATTGCTTATAACTTTTCATAACAATGGCAAACCCTGTGTCACTTTCATATACTGCATTCAGATAATTCTTAACTTAAGATGAGGATAACCGGCTCTCATTTTGTGCCTCTCAAATAGATCTTTAAGTGCTTCCACATACTGCATGTGTACTTCTGAAACCTGCAATAGCCTTTCATAATCAGATTCAAGATACGAAAAATATAGCAACCTTAGAGATCCATAGCTTGAACATGTAACCACTATGACTTTTCTCCATATTGAAACCCACATATGGTCTGATTTCAGAGCGAAGGGACTAGCATGTTTCATGATATTAAGAAAAAGGAAACAAAATTATTCTTATTTGTCAAGTTTTCAGCTTTAGTGATCATCAATAATGAACTAATGGTATAGTTTCCAAATGAAGGTTTATGAAGAAATATGAGTTAGTTGTATATTTTCAAAAGGAAAACTTCATAAAGCCCACCCAAACTTGACCATCTAGCTAGGTCCTGTTTGTATTAGAACAACACAAGACTATGTTTATGGAACAAAAATTGCAAGGTGGGATAATGACACTCTATCAACCTCTCATTTTTCAAAAGACATAAATGTTTTTCTTATCCTCATCATCCAAATAGCGCTAGGAAGGTTGTTTAGTCCACCCTTATCACGTGCAAAAAAAAAAAAACAGTCATGCCCATAACAATGAAAAAGAAAGCATTCAAAACAGGTAATTGAATGTAATACCTCTTCCATGGTAGGTGTAGTGCTTTTCTTGAAATGTATAGGTCTGCCAACCACCACATGTATTGGTTGACGGAAGGGTAAAGGAGACCTGAAACAAAATAACCATTAATTATGATGATTACGTGGTTTTTGAACTTAACAAATAATGAAATCATATGAACTTAACACACCCTAAGATACCCCAGAAAACGACCGGTGTGAACCTTATAGCCCTTGAGAATTTCAGGAACAATTCCCCACGTGGCTTCCACCACTTGTAAGCATACGACTGCAGCATGCATGGCATTTGGTTCAACAGAGTCAACAAAACAAGAAAAGAAATGCATACAAACAGCAATTGAATATAAGAATAGGTCTAATATAACAAGAAAGGTGTTGCACTATCCTTCAAAGGTGTACCCAGTTATAAGAATGAAAATTGTGATGAATTTGGATGATAGTTCTATAATTGGTAGGTTTTACATAATACAATGTTGTAATAGGAAGAAATGTAATAGCGCAGCATCAAAATTAGAAGAATTATACCTGACCGAAAGCAAAAACAGGAACCAAGGGGCAATTATTCTCCATTGCAATTCGTACAAATCCTTTCCTTGTTTTCAAAAAGACGGTCTATACAAATTACTATGTTAGACCATTCTCAAAGTTCAATGAAACCACCACATAAGAAAATACGTAAAAGATGATATTAGATGAAAATTAGAAAGAAACGATTTTGAGAGCTTATTTTGAAAAGAACAAAAAAATTCTGAACCTCGGAATCATGCTCCATGTAAAATGTCTCCTGCGTGCCACCTGGTACTATTACACAGCTATAACCAGCTTTTAGAAGAGAGGAGAAATTTGTCCTTGAAGCTTCCGTTAGCCCAAGCCATGTACATATATGCCTCATGAATGGTGTACAGAAAACCTATGTCACGACGCCATATCTGATATATAATATGTGATAGCAGAGCAACATCATAATATTTGGAACTCTTAGGCCCAGTTTATTACAAAGGACATGTACAGAACATGACAGCCTAACTAGGACTATAGAACATGACAGCCTAAGTAGGACCAAACCGATGCCAATGAGAGAATATTTCCAAATTTATTGTCTCAATAAAAAAAAAGTGAAACATGAACTCATTTGGTAGTTTAGGTTGGGGTTGTTACATGAGAATATACATGACTATAAATGCTTTTTATGGCTTATTTATTATGAGTATATTCATATCTTTTGCACAAACAAGATAACCAAAGTCGGTCTGTGTCCCACCTTATTTTAGTTTTTCTTTTGCTTGAGACGAAAGCTGTGATTTTTTGTCCCATTAACATCACGCGTAGTCCAATACACACTAAACACAGTACAACACATGTTCTGATCCGTCTAATTTTCCTATGTTACAAATGGGCTTAAAGAAGGTGGAGTAGCAAATCTTACAGCTGTACTTGCAAGGACCTTTGCTTTGGAAAGAGGCATAAAACTTGTAAGATCTGTCAGTGTGACAACTCCGATTGGCCAAACGGAATGGGGCTCATACCCAAAAACTACATGGAGCAAGGCATATAAGTTATATTAAAAACAACAGCATACGGTAATACAATAAAAGTAGAGGGGTTAAGTGCAATAGAATAGGAAAATACGATTCATTAATTTATATATTATAGCATTAAAACTTCAATTACTTCCTTTTAGAAAATTGCGCTTTTCAAAATTTACCCAATTAGGGCAATGCAATTAAATAAATGTTTGTCGTGAGAGAACCATGGCACTCAATCTTGATTGGTCTTTGGATGAAAACTATTAGTTGCCGAGATTTCAAAGCAGTTAGAAAGGTAAAAACAGTTAGCCACCAACAAATCACCGTTATCAGCAGCCGGATAAATTTTGTTTCAAGAGTTGTAATTGATTTTTATATTTCTCTCATGCAGATAAGTTTTCTAATAAACTTGACATGTATGCATCATGCATGTATGTGTGTATGTATGTATGTTTATGTTTGTGTGTGTTCACAGAAAGAGATAGTGGTGGTCAACATAGAAGGAAAAGGGAAGGCGAAAGGTGGGTTATAGGAAGCGAGGGACATGGGGGGGCATGCAGCGGTTGTGTGGTCCTAAACTTTTTTACAAAACGGCAAGATTGACTCGTGTCATATTCAAAAAACTTTAGATAGGGTCTAAAAAATTTCAAACTTGTATAAAAGGTTCAAAATCAAGATTTTCATGTGATTTTGGTCTGACAAAGTTGAAAAGACTATTATGTCCTTTTTTTAAAGAGACCAAAGACTATTATGTCCTTTTAATATCTCTTATGTAATTTTTTTTATATTTAGTCTATGCTTTATTAATTCAAAAATAAAAAAATAAAAGAGCGGGCCTCTCTCTCTCTCTCTCTCTCTCTCTCTCTCTCTCTCTCTCTCTCTCTCTCTCTCTCTCTCTCTCTCTCTCCTATGTATCTGATCTTGTTCTCTCCAAAACATAAATCGACTTTAAGCCACCTCTGAAATTGCACTAGGAGATCAAAAACACCACCTCTAAAATTCCTTGCATCTTCGATCCTATACCATTCCATTGTCTCAGTGATGTTTCTATTTGGGTTTAGACCCAACTTCACCTTCTTCTTCTTTTGTCCCGTTTCTTGCTACACCGGTGTAAATTTGGTTTCTTCATTGTGGGTTGGAGGATTCTACCGCCAATGTGTTTATAGGGATGAACACACACACACACATAACAAAGGGTTTATGTGGATAAACACAAAAACATCGATTTCAGATTCGATGGAGAAAAGAATGTGGGTTTGCAGGGATGAACGTACACATAAAAATCCTTTTTTTAGAAATCGTTTTCTTGAAATCATATTTCAGATGGGAGAGCTTGAGTGTTTTTCAGAGATGATGATTTATAGATGATGTCGTTGCCTCCATGTGTTGGTGTTGCCTATAGGTGTTACTTCTACCCCTCACCCTCTTTAATTTGCTTCACGTGGTTGCAAAAGAAACCAAATTTAAATTGATTTTTTTTTCTTTTGGAATCGATCAGACTAGGAACAAAAAGACAGAAAATGGTGGTGTAAGATCTATTGGAGTATATAGCTTTAGAAAAATTGAAAAATACACACTCACACAGTTAAAAAATAGAAATGGTGGTGTAGACCCAGTTGAAATTAATATCGTATTCAAAGAAGATGGAAAAATCAATGGAAACGGAGATCAAAGAAGGAGAATTCATTTAGTCTTGAATTGTCCGAGATGGAGAAATCATATTTAGGGTTAGCAAATTTGGGTTATTTTCACTGTGTGTGTTTAATTTTCCTTTTGTGTATGAAGAATTTTATGAGTGTGTATTCTTGAAGAGATGAGTTTTGAAGGTATAGAGAGAATGTTAAGTTCTTTGATGAAAATACATGATGTGTGTGTGTGTGTGTGAGAGAGAGAGAGAGAGAAAAAAAAATAGGGGGACCGGTGGAGAGGGTTGGGGTGGGGTAGGGTGAGATTTTGTTTTAATTATTTAAATACTAAAAGAAGCAAAAGAAAATAGAAAAAAGAAATGAAAATGATATAATTGACCTTTCAAATGCATCAAGGTAGGGATGAGCATTTGGACCGGGGAATCGGCCGGTAACCGGTACCGGAACCGGAACCAGAACCGTTACAATCATCTCAACCCGATGGAACCGGTCGGGCCGGGACCGGGACGATATTCTTGTGGATTTTTGGAACCGGGAATCGGTAGGAACCGAAACCGGTAGAACCGGCAAAAACCGGAACTGTATGTTACTATTTCTCGATGACCGGTTCTAACATTGAAAACACGGCAAGAACCGGGACCAGTAGAACCGGTGGTCCGGTTCGGTTCTTAATTTTGGCCGACTTCGGTTCCCGGGTCGGGTCCGGTTCGGGCCGGTTCTAGCCGGGTCGGTTCCTTTGCTCATCCCTACATCAAGGTCAACAAACAAGGAAAAACTTTGATTTTGGACCTTCTATGCAAGTGTGAAAGTTTTGGATTCCATCTAAAGTTTTTTGAATACCATAGGGACCGATCTTGCAGTTTTGTCTAAATTTTTCTAAATAATATAAATAAATAAATTTAATGAATTAAAATTGAATAAATAATTATTTAAGAGGTAAATTAATCACAAAGACCAAATTCATTAAAAACACTCTTTTGGCTGTTCAATGCAAAAAGTAATTTAATTGAAGTTTTGGAGCTTTTCTAAACATTGCTATTAGTGAATATATATATATATATATATATATATATATATATATATATATATATATATATATATATATATATTTCTTTCATTAAGATTTAAAACAAAAAAAAAAAAACCCCTCCCTTTAAAATGAAAATTAGTCTAGGAAAAAGAATAACATTTTAAAAGGTATGAGCCATTCTATTTCTATATGAAAAACAAACTAAATTCAATTTTAAGAAACGAAAGTAGTACCGAATGAATAATTATCCAATTTATATTGTTGTAGAAGTTTCAAACTATGTCAATTCACAAACGTACCAAATTGATCAAGAACATAATGGATTAACGGGCTCACTTACCATAAGCTTGATCAGGATTGAAGGATTTATAATCCGCTACATGTAGTGTGACTGGAAAAAAGCCCATTGCATGCTTGCATATATACCTGAAATTGACAATGAGACACAAAAATATCTAGTGATTATTGTGACATAACAACATAACATTTTTCACTGTTTGACAAAAATAATTATGATTCTGATTTTAATTATTTATTACTAAAATAATTATATACTCTCCGCAATAGGATAAGGTTTACCTTTTAAAAAAAAATCATATTTAAAAAATAAGTAATCAAGTCGGATAATCACTTTCAAAATCACTTCGAGACACCCATATATATGTCATAACACAGTATCTTAATGTATCTTAATATCTTATGGTACTGAAGTTTACGAAATTATAATATTAACGGATTAACCTGCCTAAAGCTCTGCCCCATCTGCTATTCTCGTTAATCGGGATTACCATTAAGATCGCAAGCATTCCCAGAACACTGAAAAGAAAGAATTTAAATGAAAAGACGAAAAAATAAATGGAATAATAGTGACTTTTGTTTGTAAACAACAAATTCGAGAAGACTCATATTGCGTAGTGACTTACAGAAAGAATTTGTGAAGAGGAAGAAAGAAGAAAGAAGCAAGAACGATGAAAGTGTTGAGATGTACAGAGCCAAGCCAAATCATCATTGCAAATACCGTAGGAATGAGTGGTTGTCTTTTTCCGGTGAACTCCGCTGGTGTGAGTTCAGGCATGGGCGGCAGCCGGATTTCATTCGTATCCTCAGTCGTCGACATGGAGAAACAGTTTTACTAAATGCTTTGGCAGTTGTAAAAAGCGTAAGCTGAAGAGTCTAGAATGATCTTTATGTCTTATGTTCTTTCTAAATAGATATAACTATAGAAATATCTAAAAGAGACTAGGTTTCTTGATCAACACATCAAGTGTTTCAGACGTTGTCACCAAATATCATATATGAATATATAGTCCTTCTTTGTTTCATCTTGACAGAGTATAATTACTAGGGCCAACAAACTCATGACAAACAATTAATTAAAACATTTTATTTTAGTTTGTGTCACCGGTCATTTAATATAATTGGCATAAACTGATAAACACATGCAAAAGAGGAGATCTAATGCAAATTTGATGGTACAGAATGCATATTTGCATATAAGGCAAGTTTGATTTTGGACACAACTAATTGTTGGGTGTGAAGGGCACACGTCCGTTTACGGGGTACATAATTCTTTATTAGTAGATGTATTATAGATGTCACAAAAATACATAATTCTTTATTAGTAGCTCTATTAGAGATGTCATGAAATTCATATAATTCTTTATTAGTCATATAAGTCTTTATTATAGATATCATAAAAGTCACATAAGTCTTTATTAGTAGCTCTATTATATATGTTACAAAAGTAAATAATTATTTATTGGTAACTCTATTATAGATGTTACAAAATTCGTATAATTCTTTATTAGCAGCTCTATTATAGATATCAAAAAAGTCAATGACACTTTATTAGTAACTCTATTATAGATGTCACAAAAGAATGTATGCTATGAAACATTGTTGGAGCCGGGATCAAAGTAAAGAAGAGTAAAGGGTATCCCCAAATTAAAATTTTCCGAAAAAAATTACACTGCTAAAAAAATTCGAAAAAATTAACTATTAAATTTTTTTTGAAGGGCATCCGGGGCTACCTAGGAACCAACTAGCTCCGCCAATGCTAAGGACTATCTACTCTAATAAATAAATGTTTTTTTGCCACATGTCACACTCTCATTCAATTTGTCAAATGTCATTTTATGGTTATTTTGAATTAATTTCTTTTCCACATGTAAGTTTATGGGGTTTTTTTTTTCTATTTTAATAAATTTCACATAATATTTTAACGTAATAATTACAATAAATATAGTAATAAATGAATATCAATTTAATTAATGGACTTAGCTTCTTATTTCAAAATTCTCAAATTAAAGTTTATTACATTATTTAGTTTATTTATTTAAATTTAAAAGATTAAAAAAATCGATTTTAATAATTCATTATTTTTCTTATATTTTTTTATAAATCAAAAGTTCTTAAATATTTAGACTTTTATATTTATTTATTTTTTAATTAACCCATGTAATACATGGGTCTTACACTACTAAACCATAATCTCAAAACTCTAAAATGACCAATCTTTTCAAAATAATGAAATGATAGATTAGTTATATTTCGTTTCGATGATTATAGCAAAAGAACGCAAACCAATATAATGTCTACATACCAAACAATAATGCCTTCAATGCTCACCAAAGTGAAGATTATTGTGTGGGGGAATTAAATGGAGTAAATGTGGCTATACAGCATTTAATAACCTATAGATAAACTTCAAGTCGCATACCATGCAACTTGCCCAATTGTGGGATGTGTTTGGTAAGAGCTTGTTCACTAAAATAGTAAAAATTAATGGTTCAACACTTCAACTGTAGGATGTGTTTGGTAGGTGTGGTAAAGTTACGGACGTGTATATTGCTTCGAATAAGAACAAGAAGAGGAAGGAATTTGGTTTTATCCGTTATCTTCACGTTTAATAGATGAATTTGCAAAGACTCTTATTCTCTTAATGATATTAATTTAGATTTGTTCGTTTCATTTGTTTGTTTCTTTGGCCAGATTATAATGTCATTCTAAAATTCCAATAAGAAGGGATAGAAAAATCTAATGTGGGTCTGTTAAAGGAGAAAAATACAATCCTCATGTGGGAATTGGGCTGCATCTAACTTGTGTTAGAAGGTAAATTCTTAGTAAAGTTGTGTTTCTTTGTTGTGAGTCATTAGACCATCTATAATGCAGTGAATTCATATGAGTTTTAATAGATTGTTACGTCAAAATTTCATTTACTATATAATTTTAATTATTAAACTCAAGGCCGGTGAAGAGCAGGTGCAATATGGGCATACGCACTGGGCCCTTTTTTTGTTTATACTATGAGGCCCAACAAATGAATCCATGCTAGGTTTGTCCAAGTCCACTCGACAATTTAAGCAGATACGTGACTGGGAACGCAACACAGAAGCCAAGCCAGAAGCGATTGTAATTGTATTATGTCGATTACCGATCATTCAGCGAATCAGCAAATTGTTAATCGATGAAGCCCAACAAATTACTCTCTTTTAATCGATTAGACGATTACTAATCAGGTAAGCATTCAGTCATTCAATTTCATTCAACATTCAATCATCCATGTATCTTGTTTGCTTTTTGTTTTAGAATTCAGAATTCTTTTTGTTCCAAAATGCAAAAATTCATAAATTGACTAATTTATGTTATTACAAATTGAATCTTATCACTTATCAAAAATTAAATGTATAATGTCTTTTAAGTTATTAGAAATTCTGAAATTGAATGTTGAATTTGAATAGTTTGCTTTTATGCTTGAATGAATAGATTATCAAAATCACTTTATCATATTATAGTTATTATTAGTTAGTGTTGAAATTCTGAAATCTGAATGAATGTTGAATGTTGAAAGTTGAAACTAATGAACTTGTAGTGATGAAGTCTAAATAACCATCCGGTAGTCGAAAACCTAAAAAACGAAAACTAGATGAAGAAAAGAGAAAGGTTGACATCGGTGCTCTAGATAAGTTTATCTATAAAGTTTATTGTCATTTGAAAAAAAAATAGTTTATGTAATTTAATTTGTTGCACGTTAATGCCTAATGGTCCTTTGTTTCCGCCTCGTCCTGAGCATTTGAATCCTCAGGACCAGCCCTGATTAAACTCTATGTTCCATGAAACTCAAAATAGTTCAAAATAGTTCTATGTAAAAAAATAGTTCCGTCAAATCGTCTTACTGACTCGCCAAGTCCATGCAGAAACCCACAACAATCAATCTTCATCCGACTCGTCGAGTCGACCATGCAACTCGTCGAGTCTCTTCAGTCCATTTCTTATTTAGACGATTTTAAGGTATCCCAAAGAGCCAAATTGCAGATCTAACCTCCTAGGGAATGGTTTCCACGTAAAGTTGCAAACTTTACGTACATGCATGATCCTAAATGTCAAAACCAAGCTAAGGGAAAGGTTTAAACCAAGAAGAAGAACCCAAACTTCCTAAATCTGATAACTTTATGACTATAGGGACTTAGAGAAGTCCAGATCTGAAGTTACAACTTCAGATAATGCCCAATACCCGAAATAACCCACAACCAACTAGAATATGGCCCTAAACCTTTACATGAAGAGATCTAGCTAAAGATAAGTCAAGGTAATGACTTGTTACCTTCAAAATGATGCCAAGATGAAGTAGAGTCAGAACAAGCTTCTTTTTGCTCCAAGCTCCTTAGACTTCAGGCCTTCTTCACAAAATGCACCAAAAGCACTCTTTAAATCTCAAACATATTCAAGAATAAGGTCTAGACTAATTAGGGTTTCTACTGGCCATCAAGAGGTGGTAAGGGGGCTGGAGGAAAGGAATTAAGGTCCTTTAAATAGGGTGCAAACCCTAAAATTTAGGGTTTCCATGCACAGACTCTACTCGTCGAGTCGGGGTCCTCCGACTCGACGAGTAGGAATCCTAAACCGCGCGGGCCAAATAGGTTCGACACGACGAGTTGGGGCCTCCAACTCGTTGAGTTCCCTCAGCAAAATGAATATAAAGCTTTTGAAAATTATACCTGGGAGTCGGGGTGTTACACTTTTATTGTCTAGACACGTCGTGTTGGTGCCTCCAACACGCCGTGTCTAAACCCCAAGCTTGCAACCAACAAATCAATTATCATGACATGAAAGAATTAGAAGTACCTGAACGTTGGGATGTTACAATTCTCCCCCACTTGAACTAGACTTCGTACTCGAAGTCTGTTGCGACAAACAAATCCAGATAGTACTCCATCTCAGCCTCCGGCTCCCAGGTCCACTTGGAGCCCCTCCGATGCTGCCATCGTACCTTTACCAAAGGTACTTCCTTGCTACGCAAAATCTTTACCTTCCTCTCCAGAATAGCTATGGTCCTCTTGTTTGGTGGTCAAACCAACAAATAATGGGATAAAATAATAACAATAAAATGCAAATCACTGCTACTACTTACACTAAAGATAGTATAGAGTAAGCAGGGTCGGTCCATAGGAATACGAGACTTTTTATTTAGCCATATTTTCACACATCATAAAATCAATGTTAAAGTGGGGGTTATATTTGAGTTCAAATTTAACTTCATAAACAAACAAGATTAATAATAAAATTCAATAAAAGAAATACATTTCCGATTCTGATTCCTATACATGTTTTTGTGTTGTAAGGTGTAGTATGACTATGATTCATGTTCAATCTAGGTTGCTAATTTAGATATTAATAAACTCTAATATCCAAGTTGACAAAAGTGTTTCATTCAAAACATGTTCTTCAAATAAAACTTTATTTAATTGATTCAATTCAAATAAGCTCTTACGTCAAATCATTAAATGACATTAAATTCTTGCAACAATTACCAACAATGTCCAACATTCCTCATAAGTTCGGTAATATGAACATCTAATCTTTGATTACACTAATTTTGATCTAATTACAACCAATCAAGTGCATGTTACTACATGAAATCATAAAACATGTACGAATTTCAGAATTTGATTAACTAGATTGATAAGAACCATAGTTCATTGATCAAGTGTAAAGAGAACTAATCAAACACATAATTAAGATCAAATCAAAGATTACTAGATGATAAACATAAATTCAAGTGCAAATTACAATCTAACAACAAACACTTAGAAATCTAGAATCGAAAATGATAGAAAA